CTTGGATGAGCTGGATCACATCTGTGAACTTGGTCCTGACTGCCTTGGCCAGCCCACTGCATTTCTCCGTCACTACTTGGAGGTTTTTGAGCTGATTGGGAAGCAAAGCTGTGACCACCTCCATCTCCTGCATGAGAGTCCGCACAATTGTTTTCATCTGTTCCGGGATGCTGCTTGCTAACAATCTAATCTGATCCATGTTGACGTGGGCTTCATTGAAGGCGGTCCAGCCTCGGTTGCTAACTTGGCACAGGGAGGCTTTGAAGGATTCTGGATACTTGAGGTGCTGGAAGCCACCCTCAGGAGGTAATATGTTGATGGAGAAATCTCCTTGTCCTGTTGAGATGAAGATCAGCTCCCCTAGGATAGCAATGGAGATGGGTGCTGGCATGAGAAACTCCTCCCAGTTGGCATAAGGCTTCATGAGAAGCTCCGTTTCTCTCCGTACATCTTGCCCTCTGCTAAGGGTCTCTATGGCTTTGATCACCTCACATGACTCTCCTGCTGATGCCATAGTGGATAGCCTGCAAAGAAAAACAACATCACTCTTAACAAAGCTGTTTATAGGTAGTCCTCGGCTTTCGACTGGTCACTTACCCTGTTTCCCCAAAAATAAGACCTCCCCGGATAATAAACCCAATCAGGCTTTTGAGTGCATGCACTAAAATAAGCCCTACCCCGAAAATAAGCCTCCCTGAAAATATTGCAACATAGCAGCATCCATAGCAGTAGACTTATATACCGTTTCATAGGGCTTTCAGCCCTCTCTACGCGGTTTACAGAGAGTCAGCATATTGCCCCCAGCAATCTGGGTCCTCATTTTACCCACCTCGGAAGGATGGAAGGCTGAGTCAACCCTGAGCCGGTGAGATTTGAACCGCTGAACTGCTGATCTAGCAGTAGCCTGCAGTGCTGCATTTAACCACTGCGCCACCGTGGTCCATGAGGTGACCACGCTCGCCGCCTCCAAAATAATGAGACCTCTCCAAAAATAAGGCCAAGTGCTTATTTTGGGTGTCATGCTTGGGGAAACATGATAACACCAAGTCTATGTTACAGCGGATGTCCCCCAGAGCTACTTACAACCTGTTTTCAGCTACAACAGCTGCACACACACACACTCACAAACCACAGTCTCATTTTGGACACTTGGCAAGCAACCTTTATAGTTGTTTTCAGCTTCCCACAGTCACGTGACCACAATTTGTGATACACCCCCCCACCCCCCTGGGTTCCAGTGTTTACTTCTGGTTTCTGGCAAAAAAATGCCCATTAGGGAAAATTGATTAACAACCATGGTGTTTGGTTAATGACCACCGTAAAATATTTCAAAAAATCTGATCTGGTGACATACTGTCTCAATTTATGACTGCAACAACTTACCATTCATTTCCAGGCTTAATAGCGATTGTAAGTCAAGGATTACTTGTAAAAGAATGATCCAATTGCCCCAGGAAGATACCAACATCAGAACCCTAAAATTTGCAATCTTGAATCAGAATGGGCAATCTGAGGTTAGCGGCAATAGACTTAACAAATAGGGCTTGAAATTTCATATTGGTTCGATCATTCCACCTAAGGTTTTGGGCTATTGGCTGCTGTCCCAAATGGTCACAGATGAAAGAGCTGTTCAGAACATTCATTCAAACAGTAGACGAATATACAGCAGAAGTGGCTGGCTACCATGATAAGTTGATGCACTTCTCCCAAAAGGAACAGGAATTACAAGAAGGGATAAATGCCATGAATCAGAAGATCATCCAGACGCAAGTCCAATGCAATGAGCTACTTACTTTCCAAGGGAATGTTCTGTTAAAGCAATCCTGGGTCAGAAAATGCCTTGCGCTGCTGGACGTACTGGCAGGCAAGGTTCATGTAGCCACAGTCATGTCTCAACATGCTTGTTTCCCTGAGTTTCTGGTGGACATCTTAGGGGACATTGTACATGTGATGGGTGAGAAGGGTGGGGAAGCATTCGTTCAGAATCAGAAAATCCAGGATTCAGTTCTGGAAATAAAGAAAGCAGTGAAGACTCTGAAAAGCAGAGTAGGAAAGAGCACGTTGCAGGATTATTAATGTTTCCATGACCTCCTCCTTCATGTTAACATGACTATGTACAGGTCGTCCTCAATTTATGACCAGTTGCTTAACAGTTAAAGTCATGACCGATCTCCCCAACAGCTACTTACAACTCAGATTGGAAGTTCTGATGGCTGCCCCTCCCCTCAGTCAAATGACTCTATTTTAAGTGCTCACTATCCTGCGGCCACATGAACATGTTTTGCAGTGATTTTAATAGAAACCGGCATTTACTTCTGATTTTCAGCAAAATCGGCCCACAGTAAACCATTAGGCAAGTTCCATTATAGCATTATAGCAATAGCAATAGCACTTAGTATTATATACCACTTCACAGTGATTTACAGTCCTCGCTAAGCAGTTTGCAGATTCAGCATATTGTTCCCAACAATCTGGGTCCTCATTTTATCAACCACGGAAGGACGGAAGGCTGAGTCAACCTTGAGCCGGTCAGGATCGAACTCCTGGCAGTTGGTAGAATTAGCTTTCAATACTGCATTCTAGCCACTGTGCCGCCACGGCTGTGATTGGTCATAACTCAAGGACTATCTTCATTGTATTTACCAGTTCCTTATAAGATGCCAACATGGAACTAAATACTGAAATGACATACACATTTTGTTATGCCACCCAATGGCAAAGCTTTTCCCACCTATTTGCTTTGCAGCCATGTTAAAGTACAACTTCTAGATAGGTTATCCAGGTCCTATTGTAGTTCACCATGAATATTTTTCTAGTAGGTGCTTCCAAGATGAGAGTTTTATTATACAAGTATCCTGTGTCCTTGTCAAGAAGGTGGGTGCTACAATCTTCAATTTGGAAAGCTCTTGTGTTTTCTGGTCCCTTTTGCCTTTTTTTCTTCCAAGAAAAGACTTGTTCCCAGGCGAGAAATGTAGAATGAGTGCAGTGTGTCTTTGTATTCATAGCCCACAGAGCCATCCATGTTCTAATTCATTTCCCCCAATCTTCACCTTTCTGACCAAGTGTTTTTGGAAACGCTAGTCCAATACTTCTGGACTTCCAGATGCCTATTCTAATAAAAATATTATAGTTTGTACTTTTGATAACCCAAATGTGACTGAGTGCTTGCATTTACACGTTTATTTGCATTCCTCTGAACACTGAAAAGCAGTCTTCATGTATTTGTTGAAATCTGCTTGTACAACAATAAATGTGTTGGTTTTGAAGATGTCAAGGCTACTTGATAGAAGTACTGAGGCTTTGAAAAATACCAGATTTTCAGTGATAAGATCTGTCTTGCTTTATGAATGTATATCCCTCTGCCACGCCTGTAATCTATCGACCCAAGTATCTTTAGATGCAACTCCAACATTCCTTCAAGAGAGGAATGGTCCCACATTTGGAAAATATCAAATAATTTGACAGGTGACTGAAGGTGCCATCCCAGACTCTTTCACTAAAACCCTTAAAAGAGTGTTTTTCCCCTCAGCAGACAAAACAGTACCTACTAAGGAGGGGAGAGAAAAGAGATTCTCCATCAATAGCAGTTATGTTTCAAACTTGGCAACTTTAAAATGTGTGGTCTTCACCTCCAACAATTCCCTGGCTTAAAGCTGCCAAGTTTGAAAAACATTACTTTGTCCTTTTCTGAATGAATAGCGGCACCAACAGCCCTTAAAAGGAAAGGTGACTGCAGAGGAGCATGGTTTGGAAATAAAAGGTAATTCAGTTTATTAGATAAACTGCTTGATCATCCATGCAATGCTAGATGACATAAATCATTTAAGAAAGCGTACTTTTATTCTACCTGAAGGACTGGAAGAAGACGTATTACACAGCTGGCTGTATTTAAAGTGAAAAAATAGGCATTCTAGATTATGAGTTTGTTGACCTCCTCAAATGCCAAAGATGATCTTAGTTACAATTATGATGAATCTTTTATCAAACTTCACATTACTTTCGTCAAATGATACCGAACAAAACTGAATAAATGTCAAAATACCATAATGGATGAATAACTCAGATTCTTAGCAACAGAAGTGTAATACTGCATTGCTAGTCGTGTGCTGTTTTTTTGCAATGCAACAATATGCCCGCTGTCTATCCTGGACCTATGCATGTCAGGTGATAGGAGGCAGAATTACAACGCAACAATAAGGAAGGTAAAAAAAAGCAATAAAATGCATTTCAGGAATGATATTTTCTCCTTTGGCAAAACTATTCCACCTACAGCTCAACATTTTCCTAATGAAAGCAAACAAACTCCTCTTAGATTACAAATAGATTACAACTAGACAAACTATATTTGGATTCCGGGATTAATTTCTGTTTAGTCTTTTTTTTTTTAAAAAAAAAAAGCTTGGCAACTTTAAAGCTTGTGGACTTCAACTCCCAGAATTCCCCACAGAGCCAGCTGCCTCAGGATTTCTGGAAGTTGAAGTCCACATGAATTTAAGTGGCCAAGGATGAGAAATACTGGTTTAAAAGAGAATTCGCCGTTTTGGATCAGAATCATGGAAGCGTCGTTTAAATATAAGGCTCTCTTATTGGACGGAATCTGTCCACTACTTTTACTGAAGTCTATCTTAGCGCCCTCATCGTTTATATTGCTCTTCTCCATTTTCATTGGCTTAGCGCTCACGGATGGGCGGAGCTAGTGCTTCCTCTCTAGGCAACCGAAGCTCCAACCCCCCCCCCCCCAAATTCCAATCCGGCCCGCGCCACTACGCGCATGAGCAGTTTGAGAGCCTCCATCTGTTGACCGAACGTTAGGGACCGTTGCTAAAGGTTCGAAAGGGGCGGGGGCGGAGGCGTGGGGGGGGCATATTGGAACGAGGACCTAACCAATGAAAAGACGGGAGGACCCTGAGGAGCCGGGGTTCCAGCATCGCACAGCCAATCAGAAAGCTCGCGGATGCTGGGTGAGTTGAAACGTTGGAGAGGTGTGTACATTGGTTTAAGGGCGGACGTTCCCTTGAGTCGCCAGTTTTTGTTTTTTATTTGGGTTTACGTTAAGTGCTGTGGGACAAAAATTGGAATTGAACCAAAGGAAGCTCCATGCGCAGGTAGCTATGAAATGTACAGTAATATAGCCAGGAGAAGTACATTACAACTTAATTGTGGGGTATTGGGGCTGTCTGAATCGCCAATACTGGTTAAGGGAATCGTCATCACTGGAGGTTTTTAAGAAGAGACTGGACAATTGCCTGAAATGGTCTCTTGCTTGAGCAGGGGGCTGGACTAGAAGACCTCTAAGGTCCCTTCCAGCTCCATTGATTGATTGGTTACTTTAGGAGTACGGTGTATGCTGGATTTGCCAACCAGGAAATTAGACCAGAAGTATATACATTTCTCTGAACCCAAAGCACTCATTGCATGGAATGAGGTGAATGATGTTTTATCAGATTGTTTTAAACAACTGATAAGATTCAGAAAGTTTAAAAATCCAATAAATTTAAAAAAAAACGTCCTGGGGTGGCCCGTGTAGGAACTGTAACTGAGAATCATGTGGTTAAAAGTAAAACCATCTTCCCCAATGTGGAGACTGCAGGTTCCAGTCATGTGGAGTCGCAGGTTGGTTGCATAGCCTAAAAAGCATCTGAGATGGTAAGATTGGTGAGGCTTTGGTTTAGAGCAGTGTTTCTCAACCTTAGCATGTTTACGTTTTGTGGACTTGAATTCCCAGAATTCCTCAGTCAGCATGGTGGCTAAGTAAAGCAGCTAAGGTTGAGAAACACTGGTTTAGAGTCTTTTCAATTTTCAAGATGTTTGGACTTCAACTTCCAGAATTCCCCAGTCAGGACACTCAAATCTGTTTGTTATCCTTCTTGGATAATGTATTGATCTCCCCCAGTGTTTGTCTACAAGCAATAATAACTCAATCAGAAATGAACTGGAATTAATCCAAACAAATTTGAGTACTTTTTGTGGGGTAAGAATGAACTCAGTGTTTCAGGTTGAGGTTTTTATCCGCTGAAACTGATTTGATAGCTCAAATCCCTGACTGTTAGATCTTCCTTTCCTTAAAGATCTAACTGATCTTTAAACAGTGATGCATCGTAAGGTTTCCTACAAAATGGAATGTTGCAATGTTTGCTATATATGAAGTATATGGTATATGTGAAGTATATGTGACATGTATGTATGTGTGTATATATGTATCTATGTACACACACACATACACACACCACATCTGCATGTAATTTTCAGTAAGGTAGCAGAAAAAAATGTTTATAGGGTTATTTGGGGGAAAATGATTTGTCTGTTTTTAAATAGTTATACTGATTTCCTGTAGATTTCCAGATAAAATACTGTTTGAAGCATTGACTGTCATCTTAAACACCTAGGTTAATTTTACCAAAGAGAAGACCTTTTTAATATAATCTCCGCTGCTCATTGCAATAATAGGAAAGTACACTGTTTCTCTATGTCACTGTTTCTTAAACTTTTTTTTTCAGGATTCCTTCCCATTTTTAAAATTATGGAGAACCCCAAAAGAGCATTTATTTGTATGGGTTATATTTATTGATATTTACTATATTAGAAATTAAAATTGATGCATTCACTGCCATTACCACTTCTCACAACTGTTTGATAAGATTTTAATATTGTACTATCTTTCAACATAGGCTGGCAAATAATTTTGATTTCATGGACCAATGAGAGGATCTTGGGGAATCCCAGGGATGCCAAGATCACCCTTTAAGAAAGACTGTTTTATGTAATCCTTCTCAGGTAGTAGACTTAGCTGGAAAGATACTCCTGAGTGCCATCAACTCATCAGATTGTGACTTGTGATCAGTCTTCTGTCATTGGACAGCCATTTGGTGTAGGGTCTCCTGTTTGAGCAAAAGGGTTTGACTAGAAGTCCTCCAAGGTCCTTTCCAACTCTGTTATTCTCAGTCATTGCCTTTATGGTTATGGGGCATTTTTCCTTAATCAGGAGTCTAGCTTCTTTTAGAGTCCCACAAAAAAGCCTTCAATTGTAATAGATATAATTAATTTTCACATGAATGTGTTTGATTCGATAGTAAAATTTTGTTTTAATAATGTGTTTAAATAGTCATGAGTAGAATTGAAATTTTTATTACTCAATGTATTTGTATATTTTGAAGGCCCTTGGAGTGAGACCATGGACAAGAGGAAAGATTCAGGCAAGCATCTGGACCCCCCTGCTGTTTTCCAGACCACAAGGCCAACTGGTAAAAGAATCAGCAAATTCCTTCTTAGAGATAACCTAGCCATACAGTTATTGCTACGGTTGCAACTTCTAAGCTAGCCTTTCTAATGCATTATGTGTGTTCTGTAGAAATCTACCTGAAATCCACTAAGAACAAAGTAAATTTTCCAGATTATTTCCTGAGAGTATTCACAAAGAGCATAACTTGCTAATTGTTAAATTATGACACTGATCCATTTCTGGTTGGAGCATAAAATATTACCTATAAAGCCGTTACAGAACCAGTTATAGTTGTTGAGGCACCAGTCTAAAAAACAGGAGTCTGGGAATTCTAGTCCTCCTTTAGGCACAAAGCCAGCTGAGTAATCTTCAGCCAGTCACTGCCTCTCAGCCCCAGGAAGCAGGCAATAGCAAACAACTACTGAAATCTTAGCAATAGCTCTTAGACTTATATACCACTTCACAGTGCTTTACAGCCCTCTCTAAGCGGTTTACAGAGTCAGCCTATTGCCCTCAACAACCTGGGTCCTCATTTTACCCACCTCGGAAGGATGGAAGGCTAAGTCAACCCTGAGCCTGTTGAGATTTGAACTGCTAAACTGCTGGCAGCCGGTGATCAGCAGAAGTAGCCTGCAGTACTGCACTCTAACCACTTGCCAAGAAACGTGTACAGGCAGTCACCAGAAGTCAATATTGACTTGAAGCTGTGTCTGTCTATGTTTGTGTGTGCATGTATACACAGACACACACACCCCATACCCTTTCAGAAAACAGTCCTATAATCTCACTGGTGCTCTCTGACCTCTGGGGATTTCTGATATGGTGTGAGAAATTGATCAGGTGGCCAGAAGAGCAAAGAGATATTTGTTTTTCCATCCAGTTCTGCCTGGATTCTTTTCATCAAATAATTTTTTCCCCTTAGTTTGCAAAGGGAGCAACAGGGATACTTAAACCAGCACAACAGATGTCGGTGTAAAACTAAAGATCCCCATTTGGTGTTTTCATTAACAACTAATGGTTTTCTATCTGGTGAGAGCCTGGTTTAGCAATAGTAATAACACTTAGACATATACCGCTTCACAGTGTTTTACCAGCCCCCTCTAAGCGGTTTACAGAGTCAGCCTCTTGCCCCCAACAATCTGGGTCCTCATTTTACCCACCTTGGAAGGATGGAAGACTGAGTCAACCTTGAGCCTGGTGAGATTTGAATTGCCAAATTGCAGGCAGCTGGTAGTCAGCAAAAGTAGCCTGCAGTACTGCATTCTAACCACTGCACCACCATGGCTCATTATAGCATTATATATCCAAATAGAAAATCATGATCTAGGTGTTTTCTGTGTTCCCCCCCCCCCGCCCCCATTTTAGGATTTAGAGAATTGATCCCACCTTCACATTTCCAGAGCCAATCAGCACCACCTCCAACAGTGTCTACTACTGGGCTCTTGGGGGCCACAGCTTACCCTAACTGGGAGGAGGTTGCTGAACTCCGACGTGAGAATTTGCATTTGAAAGACGAACTCCAAAGATGGAATACAAAAATAGATACGACAGAAGACCCAAAAGATAAAACCAGGTGAACAATTCTGTGTCTTACTCATTTTCTCTGAACTTTTTAAATTCTGTGTGAGCTGGGAGAGGGAACTATTACAAGAAGGTTGCTTTGAACCGTTTCTTAGCTGAACAATTGAGAGCGGCACCTTTTAGATTCATTTTTCTCTACTTTTGTTCTGTTTTCTTTG